AAAAAGAAAAAAAAAAAACCACCTTTAAAACGTAGTCAAATTATCGATTTATTTTTTGCGAAGGGCTAGTTTCTTCCACTTGACTGAGGTCACACTACGGCAATTCTATCTTTAAAACACTAAGAAGCCATTATTCTTCGAAGTATAGACAGCATAAAGCAATAAAGTTTTAGTATGTGTCCAGGTTATTTATATATCTTATATGTATGAGGTATGAATGAAGAAAATCGAAAGCAAGAGCAATTTAACTCTTTTATTTTTCTTAAATAAATCTACATAACTGCTCTATATTTGAGTTATTTGGCTTTGGGCTGTCATACTTACCGTTCAAAAGTTTATCGAGCTCTTTTTCGACCTCCATCACTTTGTCACAGGCAACGACCTTGTAGTAGTAGTAGGTCTTGACGTAGTCAGGTGCGCTACTGCCTGGTCTGCGTTTCACTGTCGTCGTCACTTCTTTCAGGTAACCGTGGCCTTCAAGGTCGGCTTTCTTGACTATCTTGTGCATCTCTTCATCGCTCAACGACAGATCCTTGTTGAACACACGAAGGGTTAAGGAATCCGTAACGTCGGTTCCTGAATGGAGAAAAGGAAAACAGGCAAAATTGAAAAAAAAGGTATTAATAAAATGCATGCACTGACGCGAGTGTGGGACGCTTTAAAATACCTGCACTACTCCACACGACCAACAACGGTAGGGCTAGAACGATGAGTATTTTCATAGTGGCAGACTTTAGTTGTCTTTAGCAAAGAAAATCTTTCCTGATAGCTTGATAGAAGATATCCTTGAGAATGATTTGTAGGACAGTAGTACATCCTTTTTATAGGCCCGTATGACCTTCAAAGGTTGGCCAAACTCTTTTGTGTCGAAAAATAAGAATGATCCAAATTAGTATGCATCGTGTCAGGTTATTGACAAACCCTTTCGAACTTCAACTTATTTTTAGCGAAACATGTTTAAATTCGCTTATACATGAATAGCTTTATCGTTATTGATTTATCGGCAGTTGAAGAGAAATATCATGTCACCTAGATAAAAGTTACCTAAGTATAGTCCAGGTGGGCGTGGCAACTAATTATTCTATCTTTCCCGGCAATCGGAGTTCCCCCCCCCCCCCCCCCCCCCCCCGGGCAAATAACAGTCGAGTAAAATGTAAGCATTTTTTAAATAGCGCTGCGCGCAGATTCGAAAAATAGCTTCTAGACTCAAACAAACATTGCACTGATTCTGTTTAACGCCGTCGAGTGTTATACAAACCGATTTTATTATTTTTACTTAAAGTTAGAATAATAACCCATTAAAACTAAGATCATCATCATCAGGTTTTCCCTCTCGGCCCGTCCYTGGCCTTAGGGCACAACTGCTCCGGGAAACGTCCTCTGAGCAGATGTTTGAACTTGGTTTTAAAAAAACTCTAAGGGCGGCTCAGTTGCTTTTTAACGGTGTTACAATAACCAGAACGAAAGCCTAGTCGTAAGACTAGGCTCCCCAGGGTGCACCTGTACTAAAGACGGAGGTGGAGTATTGCTTGAGTGTGACAGGCGTTTAGACTTAGCTGGATTTACAATACTGCCTTCTAATTCTAGCGGTTAATATCCGATAATCCGGATAATATCCGAGAGTTGCGCTTTAACACCCCAATGCACCCCAT